CTTTAAGCAAATTGCCTAATATCAGTAAGCTTCAATTCCATAGTCAGTTAAAAAAAAGAAGGAAGAAAACTACTAATACTCAAAATGAGGAGAAATAGCTGTAGACATCCATTAATAATCAGAACATGGAATGTATGAAGTGTGAATCTAGGAAAATTGGAAGGTGTCAAAAATGAAAGGAAACACATAAAATTTGATGTCCTAAGCATCAGTTAGCTGAAATGGACTGGTATTGACCATTTTCAGTCTTACAGTTATATAGTTTACAATGCTGGGAACAACAAATTCAAGAGGAATGGCATCACATTCCTTGTTAAAAAGAACATTTCAAGATCTAGCTTGAACTACAATACTATCTGCGATAGAATAATATCCATTCTCTTACAAGGAAGACCAGTTAATACCACTATTCAAATGTATTCACCAGCCACTGAAGCCAATAATGATGAAATTGAAGAATTTTTACCAACTTCTTCAGTCTGAAATTGAGCAATCATGTAATCAAGATGTATTGATAATTCCTGGTGATTGGAATGCAAAGGTTGGAAACAAAGAGGAAGAACCAATAGTTGTAAAGTATGACATTGGTGGTAGAAATGTTGTTGGAAAGCACTTGATAGAATTTTGCAAGACCCATGACTTACTCATTACAAATACCTTTTTTAAACAATATAAGAGACAACTATACACATGAGCCTAACCAGATGGAATACACAGAAATCAAATTGACTACATCTGTGGGAAGAGACATTAGAAAAGTTCAATGTCATTAGCCAAAACAAGGCAAGGGACCAACTGTGGAACATAACATCAGTTGCTCATTTAAGTTCAGACTGAAGCTTAAGAAAATTAAAGCAAGTCCATGAGATCCAAATATGACCCTGATATCTCACCTGAATTTAGAGACCATCTCAAGAACAGATTTGATGCAGTAGACACTTTGACCAGAAGAGTTTTGGGATGACATCAAGAACATCATGCAGGAAGAAAGCATAAGGTCCCTAAAAAGACAAAAATGGATGTCAGAAAAGACTCTCAAATTTACTCTCTAGTATATAAAATACTAAAGCATATGGAAGAAATGAGGAAATCAAAGAGCTGAACAGAATATTTTAAAGGGCAGCTGGAAAAGACAGTCATGTATTATAATGAAATGTGCAAAGACCTGGAGTTAGAAAACAGAAAGGGAAGACACATTCAGCATTTCTCAAGCTGAAAGAACAAGGAAAAAATTCAAATCCCAATTTATAGTACTAAAGGATTCTATGAGCAAAATATTGAATAATCCAGAAAATGTCATGGGTGGAAAGAACACACAGAGTCACTGTACTAAAAAGAAATGGTTGATGTTCAACCATTTCATGAGGTAGCATATGATCAAGAACAAATGGTCACATGGTACTGGACAAAGAACTCCAAGCTGCATTGAAAAGCATTGGCATAAAAACAAGGCTTTAGGAATTGATGGAATACAGATTGAAATATTTCATCATACTGATGAAGCACTGGAGGCACTCACTCATCTATATCAAGAAAGTTGGAGCTACCTGGCAACTGATTGGAATATCCATATTTGTGCCCGTTCCAAAGAGAGTTGACCCAATAGAATGCAGAAATCATCAAACAATATCACTAATGGCACATGCAAGTCAAATTTTGCAGACTATAATAAAAAATGACTGCAACAGTACACTGACAGTAAACTTAACTGCTAGAAATTCAAGTTGGATTCAGAAGAGGACTTAGAATGACAAATATTGTTGCTGAAGTCTCATGGATCTTGACTGAAAGCAGAGAATACCAGAAAGATGTTTACTTGTGATGTATTGACTGTGGATTGTGACAATCTATGGATAGCATTGTGAAGAATAGGTATTCCAGAGCACTTAATTGTACTATGAGGTACCTGTACATAGACCAAGAGGCAGTCATCCGAACAGAACAAGGGGATACTGAATGGTTTAAAGTCAGAAAAGGTGTTTGTCATGGTTGTATCCTTTCACCATACTTACTCAATCTGTCTGTTGTTCCACACTGTGCTCTGGCCTGGTTTTGGCTGGTGATATGGAACTTTTCCACTGTCTTTTCCCACAGATGTAGTCAATTTAATTTCTGTGTATTCCATCTGATGGGGTCCATATGCATCTTGTATGTTGTTTTAAAAATGTATTTGTAATGAGTAAGTCACTGATCTTGTAAAATTCTGTCATATGATTTCTATCTAGCATTGTTTCTATCACCAAGGCCATATTTTACAACTACTGATCCCTCCTTTTTTTTCTAACATTTGCATTCCAATCAGCAATAATTATCAATACAGCTTGACTGTGCATGTTTGATCAATTTTAGACTGAAGAAGTTGGTATCATTCTTTAGTTTTTCCACTGGCTTTAGTGGTTGGTTTGTAAATTTGAATACTGGTATTAACTGGTCTTCATGGTAAGAGTATGGATGTTATCCTATCACAGACAGCATTGCATTTCAAGAGGGATCTTGAAATGTTCTTTTTAACAAGGAATGTGATACCACTTCTCTTGAACTTGTTACCAGCATTGTAAGTCATATGATTGTAGGATTCAAAATGGCCAATACCAGTCCATTTTGGCTCACTAATGCCTAGGATATTGAATTTTATGCATTCCATTTAACTTTTGACAACTTCAGAATTTCCTAGATTTATGCTTCATGCATTCCATGTTCTGATTATTAATGAATATTTACAACTGTTTCTCCTCATCTTGTGTTGTGACCCATCAGCAAATGTAGGTCCCAAAAGTTTTGCTCTATTCATGTCATCATGGTAAACTCTATTTTGAGGAGGCAGCTCTTCCCCAGTGTTATTTTGAGAGCCCTTGTACCTGAGGGGCTCATCTTCTAGCACTATATATAGTGTTCTGGTGCTATTCATCATGTGTCAATATTCAATATTCTAGTGCTGACAGTGTTCTACTGCTATTCATAAGGTTTTCAGTGGCTAAACATTCAGAAGTAGTCCATCTCTCCTTCTTCCCAGTCTGTCTTAATCTGGAAGCTCAGTTGAAAACTGTCCACTATGGGTGTACCTACTTGCATTTAAAATCCATTGGCAAAACTAGCAACGCACAAGCCATCACTGTACAACAAAATGAGAGTAGTGGTCAGTTTGTTGACTCTGGAAAGACTTTTGACTGTGTGGATCATGACAAGCTATAGACAACATTCAGACAATGAGTATTCTGGAACACTTAATTGTGCTCATGAGGAACTTGTGTCTATGGGCCAAGAGGCAGTTGTTTGAACAGAACAAGGGGATGCAGAATGGTTTAAAATAAGGAAAGGTGTATGCCAGAGTTGCATTTTTTTCACCATACTTATTCAGTCTGTATACTGAACAAATAATCCTACAAGGTAGATTATATGAAGAAGATTATAGTTATCAGGATCGGAGAGAGACTCATTAATAACCTGTGATTTTCAGATGATACAACCTTACTGCTAAAAGGAAAGTGGACTTAAAATACTTCCTGATGAAGATCAAAGACCACAGCCTTTAGTTTGAGTTACACCTCAATGTAAAGAAAACAAAAATTCTTACTCCTGGACCAATAAATAACATGATAAATGGAGAAAAGATTGAAGTTGTCAAAGACTTCATTTTACTTGGATCCACTATCAACACTCATGGAAGCAGCAGTCAAGAAGTCAACTGATGTAGTGCATTAAGACACATCTGCTTCACAAGACCTCTTTAAAGTGTTCAAGAAGAAAGACCTCAGTTTGAGTGCTAAAATGCACTTGACCCAAGCCATGGTATTTTTAATAGCCTCATATGCCTGTGATAGTTGGATGGTGAATAGGGAAGACTATAAAAGAATTGCTGGATTTGGGTTATGGTGTTGGAGAAGAATAGAAAAAGTATCATAGATTGCCAGAAGAATAAACAAGTATGCTTTGGAAGAAATACAGACAGAATGCTCCTTAGAAACCAGAATGGCAAGACTTTGTTTCTCATACTTTGAACATGATCTCAGAAAGGACCGTTCCCAGAAGAAGGTCACACTTGGTAAAGTGAAGGGTCATTGATAAAGAGGAGGAAGACTCTCCAATGATATGGATTGGCAGTGTAGTAGCAGCCGTGGGCTCAAGTGTAACCACAATTGTGAGGATGGAGCAAGACTGGGCAGTGTTTATTCTGTTGTACATAGGGTTGCTATGGTTAGGAGCCAACTTGATGGCACCTAACATCAACAACCACCCATGTGGAGTCCCTGGGTGGTATAATTGATTATAATCTCAACTACTAGCTGAAAGATTGGCAGCTTCAACCCACTCAGAGGCACTTCAGAATATTGGTGTGGCAGTCTAATTTTGAAAGGTCAGCCTTGAAAACCTGATGAAGTGGTTCTACTCTGTACACACAGGGTTACCATGAGTCAGAATCAACAACCACCACCTATATCCTAGTATTATAAACCAAACCATACCCTACCTGCTGCCATTGAATGCATTGCAACTCATAGTGACCTTAAAGGGCAGAGTAGAACTAGTCCTTAAGGTTTCTAAGACTATAAATTTTTATGGGAGAAGATAGCCTCATCTTTTTCTCTTGGAGCAACTGATGGGATTGAACCGCTGATCTTGCAGTTAGTGGCCCAATGTTCAACCCACAGTGCCACCAAAGGATTATGAGGATTAAATGAGATAGTACATATTAGTGATGAGGATGAATCCTCATAGTAGTACTTGTTAAGGGTTAGCTACACTGTTGTTGCTGTTATGATGAGCTCTCTTATTTCTGGCTTTCTCATGCCGGCTACATGTGTCCATTTTCCACGGCATAGTGATCTTGCCTCTGTTTTCACTGGCTTTGACTAAACAGGTAATGTTATTAATAAAAGGGAGGTTGAGGGCTTTGTGATCCTTTAAATAGTTGGCAGTTTTACTACCTGTGTAATTATTTTTAAAAGATTTCAAATTATGAATTTTTTGTTCTTACATAACTTTATTTGGCTATCATATAGCTGTGCCACAGCCAGTTCCTTCAAGCAAAGGAAAATCTAAGAAATCCCTGGAATCAGTGTTCCGTATTCCTCCCGAACTTGACATGTCTTTATTACTGGAGTTCATTGGGTGAGTACCCTAAACTTTTACCTTTTAACCTTCAAATAAAATATTTTTAAGTTCCAAGAACTATGAAATCTTCAGACCTCAGTTAAAATAAAATTTTCCTGACATTCCTTTGGAAACTAATTATGAAATATTTAAGACATAGTAAAAAGGTATAACCACATGTATGTGCACTATCTAGCTTAAGATAGTCATTGCTGATATAGGTGAAGCCTCTGGGGTGCCCCTTCCTGCTCACTCCCCCTTTCCTCAGAAGCAAATAAGCGGCTTTTCAAAGTAAGTGTTTTTCATTTCCTTCAATTTCTTTATATATTTATCACATGTGTTCTAAGTAATATGCAAAATCTGTTTTGCCAGTTTAATATTTAAATGTATCGTATTGTATGTTTTGCAGCTTGCTTTTTTTCACTCAATATTGTGATTCATCTAAATTGGAATGTATAGCTCTAGTCCATTCATTTTCACTATTGCATGATAGTCTGTTAAAATTGATGTGACACAATGTGCTTTTCCTTATATTGTTAAAAATTTAGGTTCTTTTCAGTTTTCTGCTATTATAAACAATGTTGTACATATGTATGAGAATAAGTAAAAAGTATTGTTACTAGGGTTTCAGTTCATATATGCATAGTCTTATTCCACACAAAGCATGTTTGAATGTGTTTCTGCAATTGGTGATGGCTGCAGACAAGTTCTCTCAGTAATGAATGTATTTGTCTTAGTCTTGTTAGGGTGCCTTCAAAAAAGGTCCAATCAAAGCTGGTTTCTGAGGGGATCTGCTGGGCCAGTTAAATTCAAAGCAGAGAGGTCAGTTTAGAAGTTGTGGTGACTGTTCTTTGAGAGCATCCCAAAATGGTAATTTTGATAGCCACTATGCATCTTGGTAAAGTGGAGGGTCAGCGAAAAAGAGGAAGACTTCCATATTTATCACTTTCTAGCTCTGTAACTTTAAGCAAGTTATTAAACTCTGAGCTTCATCTCCCTCTCTGTAGAACAGGCCTACTATGTCTAATTTGGAGTCCTGTTGTGGCACTGTGAGATAAAGCACTGGACCTCAAGGCCGGTTTGAACCATGTGGTCTGTAGTTCAAACTCACCAGTTGCTCCTTGGAAACCCTATACAGTGTTGCTATGAGTTGGAACAGACTGGACAGTACTTAACAACAACAACAATGCCTAATTTACAGGGCTATTGTAGACTAAAGGCAAAAAGAAAAACACGCAGAATTTGTGAAGAGCTAATATACTTGGTGTATATAGTAGGTGTTCAACCAACAATAAGGCTTTCTACTCCTGCAAAGATTTTTAAAAGCCTTGGAAACCCTATATGGAGTCTCTATAAGTCAAACAGACTCAAAGGCACTTAATAACAACAACCAAAGTTAATTCCCCTTGTTCTCCCTCTTGACATAAAAATAATTGGTTTAATCAAGCAATTTCTGGGCTGCTAGGAGAAAGGCAAACCAAGTAAGTCATGATCAAGTGATTTTGCAGCTAGTGCAATAATAGGAAATTTTAAGCTGGAAAAAATGTTAGAAAACTAAAAGTGGAGAAAATCTCAATACTAAGAATATACTTTAATTCCTGAAATTAAATTGAATGTGATACGAAATACTGGAAAAAACTGTATTTGCTTTACCACTGGGTGGCAGAAATGACAAACAATTAACTAAGTTATATTTCATAAAAGATTAACTGTTTCTGAAATTTTCAAATAAATTGATGTTCTGCAAATATTTATATTTGTTATTTTTCTGTTATATAATTAAACATATAGCTTAAAATATTTAATGTTGATTAATACTGTTCTCATTTTTCAGTGCTAATGAAGGCACAGGACATTTTAAGGTAATTTACTTTTTCATTTTCATTTCACAAGAGAGCTCTATGCATACAAATTTCAGAATTAGATTAGCAAAGATAGGGAGATCATCTTCAGTTACAGTAGAGAATATTTTGAGCTTAAAAAGTTATTGAAATATGAATACATTCAGTTATTTTTGAGAAAAAGATGAGACTTTCTGCTCCTGCGAAGATTGAAAAAAAAAAGCTTGGGAAATCCTGTACAGGGTCGCTGTGATTCAGAACAGGCTTGACAGCACTGAACAACAAAAACATAGTATGTTTATGAGGAATGAGATTTATTAAGTAGGGATTTGTTATTAACTCAGAACAATATTTGTAAGGAAAAGAAGTGAGTCACTTTTAGAACTCTGAAGTCCAATGCTATGTTAATTTGGTGATAAAACAATTTTAAAGCCTTTATATTATATAATTGGCACGTAACGTTAATATGAGCTTAAACAGTCTATTTGCATGTAATGTATTTTACTCAGATTAACCTTCCCTAACTTGTTACTTCAGTCATTCACTGAGATTTTAGGGTAAGAATGAGCTCCTTCGTAACATACTGAAGTTGAGTTGTCTGAAAGGCTTTAAAATCACAGGTGCCATTGTATACACTGTCAGTACTCTGAGTTATTCAGGAAAAGGTAGCTTTTTAGAAGGAGCAACGCAGGCTAGTTTCCAGTTTCTGTGCCGCCGAGTCGCTTCTGATCCATGGCAACCCTGTGTAAGGTTTCCAAGGAGTGACTGGTGAGTTTGAATTGCTGACCTTGTAGTTCAAACCACCTTTGCAGTGCAGCGCATTAACCCACAGTGCCACACCAGGACTCCTGCTTCAGATTATAAATATACAATATAAGGAAACTGGTAACTTTGACCTATTCAGATTTATAGAGGCTTTTCCAAAGTTTATAATAAAAATTGGGTGAATTATAACTGGTTGGACATACTGTTTTGTTTTATAAATACCCTGGTTTATTGTGTGTGAGTTAACGCGTGGAGACAGACAGGTACTTCTCTGGGTGGAGGAGATTATGGAAGTTCTCCAGAGATCTGTGTAATAGGGAAGGCAGTGTTTTGTCCCCATGGGTTGTAGTAACTTTGAACCTCTTCTAAATTGTAAAATATCAAATGGTGACAGATTTTAGGGATGTCTTCCATAGAAGTAAAGTGGGTGGGAAAGTAGCAGGTATATTTCTGTATGGGACAAGTACTGAGTCATATGCTTAAAGCTAGGTGGGTTGCTGTGGAGTTGAGTGTGACCCATGTGTGTCAGAGTAGAACTGTCCTCCAAAAGTAGCCCCTGAAGTCTTCTTTAAACCAAACAACAGATTAGTTTATTTAGTAAAGTATGTCTGCCTTGAGCCCTGTGCTCTTTTTATAGGAATCACACTGACAATGGCAGTTAGAAAGAGTAGAGAGGAAACTTAGGAGACAGTGAGTATATGTTAATAGTAGAGGAACATTATGGAAAAGGAGGGTGAGTATGATCGCATAACTTGAAGGATGTAACCAGTGTCACTGAATTGTACGGACAGAAATTGTTGAATTGATGCATGTAGAAATAAAGCAAATATTAACAGTAAAAGGTGAAGGGTACCTATATGTTTATTGTACTATTTTTATAACTTTGTAAATTTGTCATTTGTCAAAAAGTTAGAGGTGAGGAATGAAAGAAAGAAAAACAAATACTTATCAAATATATACTCAGTGTTCAGATTTTTAATTGTCTTAATTGTTCAGTAGTCTTTAAATTTGTGCATTCATTTCTTTTTATTGCAATTTGTCATTGAAACTGAGTCATTTGTCCTGTAGTTTTCTACAGATTTTTGCTGTTGCATCTTGTCGTATACTTTAACACGTTCTTTTATCCTTTCTCTTTCCCCTATACTGGTAGTTAAAACAGAATGTCGATGAGATTCAGGTTTGATTTGGAAGGAGTAAGAATAGTTCATAGATGGTGGTGTTTTCTTTCATTACCCTCTGCTGTTGAGTCAATTCTGACTCATAGTGACCTTGTAGGACAGAATATAACTTCCTTATATGGTTTCCAAGACTAAACCTTTTTCTCCCAAGGACAGTTGGTGGATTTGAACTGCTGACCTAGTTAGTGACCGAATGCTTGACCACTTTGCCACCAGGGCTCCTGCTTCTTTCTTGCAAAAACCCACTGCTGTCAGGTCAGTCAGGCTAAATATTTGCTTCCTGTCCCCCTTCTATGTGGGCTACTGTGTCAGACTGCAAGGTTATTTGAACTGCAAGGTCGGTGGTTCAAGCTCACCAGCTGCTCCTTGGAAACCCCATACAGAGTCGCTATGGGTCAGAATTGACTTGACAGCACCTAACAACAACAACAACATTTAACAGCTTTATTTATCACTGTAAAGAAGTAGTTTACCAACATGTTCCAGTTGTGACCAATTAGATTTTATTGTTTTTAGTTATTATGAACTCATGGATTGAAAGATTTATTGTTAAGTGCTGTTGAGCCAGTTACAACTCATGGCAATCTTTTACAGGGTCTGAGGCTTTCTAAATCTTTGCAGGAGCAAAAAGCCTCATCTTTCTCATATGGAACAACTGGTAGACTCAAACTGCTGACCTTGTGGTTCACAGTTCAGTCCTTATACTATGGAGGCACTGTGTTCTCTGAACTTAGAGATAGTAGATACTTGTGGTTTAATCCCTTTCATTTATTATCCTTATTGATGTTCAAATTATTCTGTTATAGGTATCATAGTGTATGACAACTTCCTTGCTATCTGATATGATGAGACATTTCATACGTGACTTGTACATACATCTCTTACCCTAGTCACAGAATCAGTCATTTCTCAAGACCTAGCTCCTTTTGGTCATGACTAGTAGTTCAAAATCACAGTCTGGTCCCTGGGCTTCCCATTATACTGGGTTGGTTGCTGTTTCTAGGCCTTTTCAGTTGACAGAGTTAGGAATTTTTTTCAAGGTAAAATATAAGGGGCTTCAAAATGTTCATGGAATAGTAGAATTGAAAGATAAATCAAAATTTTCCATGATCCTTTTTTTTTTCTGGGTAAAAATAGTTATTCTTATATGAACATTTACTTCTTTAATATTTGTTCCCTTGCTCTTAGAATTCAAATATCCAAACTTCATGTATTTCTTGCTTTTTTTTTTAACTTTTTATTATAAATTGGGTAAAAGTTTACAGAACAGACCAGTTTTTCATTCAGCCATTCATACACATTTTGTTTCATGTCATTGATTGCAATCCTCACAATGTTACATCGCTTATCCTACTTCCTCCCTGTTTTTCCTATTTTCATAGGTAGCTTATTATTTGGACTTTCTTATCAAATTAACCTTTTATATTTTAGATGGCAATAAAGATTGTTGTTGTTATGTGCCGTGGAGTCGGTTCCAACTCATAGTGACCCTGTACAGGGTTTCTGAGGCTGTAAGTCTTTACAGAAGCAGAAAGCCTCATCTTTCTCCCACAAAACAGCTGGTAGTTTCGAACTGCTGACCTTGAGGTTAACAGCCCGATTCGTAACCACTACACTACCAGAGCTCCTTGGCAATAAAGGTTACTGTGCTCATTTCAGAGAAGTATAATTCTTCTGTGGGATATCCACCCCCCACCCCACCCCCTGCCATTTGCATATGGTAGGAGGAGGCTATTAGGTGTAGAGCTAAAAATGAGTTGACCATCTAGTGAAAAACTGGTTTTGTAACCTCCAGCAAAAAGATAACATTTTCTTCTTAAAAAAAATCTAGGTTCAAATTTGTTAACTTGTGAGGATGGGGTAGGGGAACGAAGGTTACTTGTGTGAGAATCCAGCTTTGAAAGCTGAAACTAATTTTTTTTTTTTTCTCCTTTCAAGTATTGGCATAGCTAATAGTTCTGTTTGGTGTCATCTATGAAATAAAGCTTAAACTAAGTTAGATTAATTTTAACAAAAACTTGGGGTAAGGTTGAGGTGCCCACTAGAGTTTAGAAATGAGGGAAATGGATTATCCTCTGTTGGTATATACCTGAAGCTTGCTATTGAAATGTCAAGCCCAGAACATTAACCTTCAGAAGTGCACTGGTTGGCCAGCAGGCATTTAATTAGGTTATCCACAAATGGGAACTTCCCAGGGCATCTGATGGGATTTTCATGCTAATCAGCTGTGTCACTTGCAGTGAGAGAGCTACAGTTGAGGCACTACTGTGTCTCTTCAATGAGACTGCTTTTATGTTGTGAGATGAGTCCTATACCTGCATTAAAAGAACATAAGAGCTTCCTCATTTTTGTCTGGATCATGTCACTGTTCCATGGTGACAGCTAGGCTCTGTATAAGAGTTAATATGAAGAGCAAAATGATGCAAATAATTTAGACCAAACTGGCTCTCAGCACAACAGTAGTAACTGTTTACTATGTGCCAGGAATGATTCTTAGTGATTTGCATATGTTAACTCATTTATACTCATGATGAATCTGTGAGAAAGTTATAGGTATTATCTTTGCTTTGCCAGTAGGAAAACAAAAAGGATTAACAATTTGCCCAAAGATGTACAGCTAAAAGAATGGTAGAAGCATGATTTTGATCCAGGCTCTGTCTCTAGAATACACGTGCTTAACACCTACGTTGTCTGCTATATTATAGGAATATGGGGTGGATCTGTATCTTCAGGTTCTAAAAAGCCAAACTACAGATAAGAAAGTTAAGTGCTATTATGTGGGAGAAATTAGTAGCCATTGTGGACTCTGCTTTACTGTTGTTAGTTGCTGTCAAGTCAATTGCAGGTCTGCTAGTGCTAGAAGAGCATTGCTCAAGTTTTCCTAAAAGGCATTTTCATTCTCCTGATTGCCATAGATTTTCATCTGCCTTTGATAACTAGTTGTTGTTATTGTTATTATTAAGTGCTGTCTAGTCTATTTTGACTCATAATGGCCCTATGTGCAACAGGCCGAAACACCACCTGGTCCTGTACCATCCTCACAATTGCTGCCACTGTGCCTTTTCACAGTCCCTCCACTTACCAAGCATGATGTCTTTCTACAGGGACTGGTACCTTCTAAGAATAATGTCCGAAGTATAAGAGACAAAGTTTGGCTATCTTGACTTCTAAGGAGCATTCTGGTTGTATTTTTTCCAACACAGATTTGTTTGTTCTTTTGGTAGTCCATAGTACCTTTAATATTCTTTTGCAGCACCATAACTCAAATGCATCAGTCCTTCTATAGTCTTCCTTATTATTCATTGTCCAACTTTCACATGCATATGAGGCTGTTGAAAATACTATGGCTTGGGTCAGGCATCTTTGGTCCTTAAACTGACATCTTTGCCCTTCAATACTTTAAAGAAGTCTTGTGCAGCAGATTTGCTTAACACAATATGTCATTTGATTTATTGACTGCTGCTTCCATGAGTGTTGATGGTAAATCCATACAAAATGAAATCTTTGTCAACTTCAGCCTTTTCTCCATTTGTCATGATGTTATTTATTGATACAGTGGTGAGGATTTTTGTTTTCTTGACATTGAGGTACAATCCATACATGAAGACTGTGGTCTTTGAGCTTTATCCTCTTCACTTTTAGCAAGCAAGGTTATATCATCTGCATATTGCAGGTTTTTTAATGAGTCTTCCTCCAATCCTAATGCCAGGTTTTTCTTCATATAATCTAGATTATTTGTTCAGCATACGGATTGAATAAATACAGTGAAAGAATATAACCCTGGCACACACCTTTCCTGATTTTACAAACCATTCGTGTCCCTTTGTTCTTTTCGAATGACTGTCTCTTGGTCTATATACAGCTTCCTCATGAGCACAATTAATTAAGTGTTCTGAAGTACTCATTCTCCACAGTGTTGGCCATAGCTTGTCATGATCCACACAGTCAAAAGCCTTTGCATAGTCAACATTTTTCCCCCCACAGGTAAACATCTTTCTGGTATTCTCTACTTTTGGCCAAGATCTATTTGAAATCAGCGATGATATCCTGCATTTCATCTCCTAGTCTGAATTCAGATTGAACATCTGGCAGTTCCCTGTCAATGTACATCTGTAGCCATATTTTTTTGGTACACAGTATTTCTGTGTATTCCTTTCATCTTCTTTTGATGCTTTCTGCATCATTCAATATTTTACTGAAAGAATCCTTCAGTATTATAAGTCGAGGCTTGAATTTTTTCCTCAAGTTCTTTCAACTTGAGACATACTGGACATCCCTCCCTTTTGGTGTTCTAATTCCAGATCCTTAGTACATTTCATCATAATATTTGACTTTGTCATCTTGAGCTACCCTTTGAAATATTCTTGTTCAGCTCTTTTACCCCCTAATTTCTTAAGCATTTACCCCATTTGCTTTAGCATCTCTACACTGTCTCTTATGCCATCCATTTTAGTCTTTTTTTTCTTTCTCATCTTCTTAGTGAATTTTTGTTTTCTTCCTGTATGATGTTCTTGTCGTTGCACAGATCTTCTGGTTTTTAGTCACTTGTGTCCTAATACATCAAATCTGTTCTTGAGATGATCTCTAAATTCACGTGGGATATGTTCAAGGTCATATTTTGGCTCTCATGGAGTTGTTTTAAGTTTCTTCAGCTTCAGCCTGGACTTGCACATGAGCAATGAATGGTTTCTTCCACTGTCTACTTCTGGCCTGGTTTTGGCTGATGATATGGAACTTTTCTATCATCTTTTCCCACAGATATAGTCAATTTGGTTTCTGTGTATTCCATGTGTATAATTGTCTTTTATGTTGTTTAGAAAATATATTTGCATTAAATAAATTATTGTTCTTGCAAAATTCTGTCATGTAATCTCCAGCATCATTTCTATCACCCAGGCCATATTTTCCAACTACTTATCCTTATCAATATATCTTGACTGCATGTTTGAGCAATTTCAGACTAAAGAAGTTGGTAGGATTCTTCAATCTAATTTTCACTGTCTTTAGTGATTGGTACATAAATTTGAGTAATAGTGGTATTAACTCGTCTTCTTTGTAGACATATGGATACTAACCTATCAAAGACAGCATCATACTTTAAGATCATGAAATGGTCTTTTTGATGATGAATGTAGTGTCATTCCTGGGCATAGTTGTTGTTGTTGTTATGTGCCATGGAGTCGATTCCAACTCATAGCGACCCTGTACAGGGTTTCTGAGGCTATAAATCTTTACGGGAGCAGAAAGCCTCATCTTTCACCCATAGAACAGCTGGTAGTTTCGAACTGTTGACCTTGCGGCTCGCAGCCCGATTCGTAACCACTACGCTACTGATAGTAATCAGGTTCAAAATGGCCAATACCCGTCCATTTCAGCCGACTAATGCCTAAGATATTGATGTTTATGCATTCCATTTCATTTTTGACAGTTTCCAATTTTCCTGGATTCATACTTTATACATTTCCATGTTCCAATTATTAATGAATGTTTGCAGCTGTTTTTTCACATTGTGAATTGTGCCCCATCAGCAAATGAAGGTCCTGAAGGCTTTATTTCATTTGTATCATCACGGTCAACTCTACTTTGAGGAGGCAGATCTTCCCCAGTTATATTTTGAGGGGCTCATCTTCTGGCATTATATCTGACAATATTCTGTACCCATTCATCATGTTCAATATTCAGTATTCTGGTGCTGTCTAACAGTGTTTCACTGCTATTCATAAAGTTTTCAGTGGCTAAACATTCAGAAGTAGTCCACCTCTCCTTCTTCTGAGTCTGTCGTAGTCTGGAAACTCAGCTGAAATCTGTCCACCATGGGTGATCCTGCGGGCATTCAAAATATCAGTGATATAGCTTCCAGCAGCACAACACACAAGCCACCACAGTGTGATAAACTCACAGATGAGTGGTGAGCCTTTGATGAAAGTGTCATTAAGTGTCTCTGGGAGATAGTGGCTAGATAAGCATTAATTTTTATTTTAAATTCAATTTGTTGATAAAACCAGGTTATTTTGGAGGCCAGGATGGCCAGACTTCATCTCATACTTTGGCCATATTGTCAGGAGGGAACAGTCACTAGAGTGGGGTATCATGTTTAGTAAGGTAGAGGGTCAAAGAGAAAGAGGAAGACCCCCAGTGAGATGGATTGGCAAAGTGACAGCATCAGTGGGCTCAAGTGTGGCAACGATAGTGAGGTTGGCCCAGGACTGGGCAGTGTTTTGTTCTGTTGTGCATAGGGTCACTATGAGTCGGTACCGACTCAATACACCTAAAGACAACAACAGCAACAATCTTGGGTGTTCTCTCTGTTTTACTAGTGTAAATTCAATGGATTGAATGAATAAATTTTACTCTGAGTTTTGTTTTGCTACTGATGAAGCATTAAAATAAACCATCAAGCCCTCCTATTTTAAATAAATAAAAGTTGATATTTTTCAGAGGAGAAACTCAGCAGAATTTCTGTTTTGGAAAGTAAATTAACTCAAATTTCATAATTTTTGTTTCATAAGTCTAATTGCATCATCTTTACTTGCCTTATAGTTTGTACATCTAAAATATATATTTAATCTGAAAATAGTTTATTTAATTTTGTAGCCTCTGGAAAAGAAGTTTGTCCGAGTTTCAGGAGAAGCAACTATTGGGCATGTAGAAAAATTCCTCAGAAGAAAAATGGGTCTTGATCCAACTTGTCAGGTACAGCACATATGTATAAAAAGACAGGTAGAATTGCAAGATTAGTATGTTGAAGGAATAACTGTATATAGGATTTCATGTTGTAACTTTTGTTTTATGGTATTATAGACATTGTAAATGTGATTGGCACACAGTCATTCTAATTCCTAGCTTTAACCATATTTGATTTGTTGGCTATTTCTTACAACTACTGATGAGCATCTATTGGAGTCAGAAAAGGTGAGGATGTGATAATTAATAAAAAGTTTCAAGGGCCAAAAGGTTCTAGTCCTTTCCCTTTTGTTGACAGAAGTTACAGTAAAAGATTTATCATCCACTTCTCTTCAGAGGACATCCTTACATTTTTGCTATATTTGCTCAAGGAAGCTTAAGACACCTAGGAAAATGATATTGTTTCTCTCTCTAATATACACCCTATTAGTTTTTTAAGAACTGAAAAACATCTGCTATTCCAAGTGTATAACATATCTTGTTCTAAGACAAGGGAGCACAGTGACTCCATAAAATAAATACTGGACTTCGAATGACAAGGTCCATGGTCTGAGCCCACCAACTGCTCTGAGGGAGAAATGTAAGGCTTTCTGCTCCCTCAAAGATTTAAAGCCTTGGACAACCTGTACAGGGTCACTGTGAGACAGAATCGACTCAACAGAACTTAACAACAACAAAACAAACTAAAGATTTCATATTGACGAACATGAAGTATAAATACACTACTAGTTTTAGTTCTAGGACTCAGTGAAAATGGCACATTTATATAGTTTTTTTTTTAATTAAATTTAAAATGGAATTTTGTTATTTTCCATCACTATGTAAAATTTCATAGAGTACATTTTAGCTAAAAATATTTTATTAACTGCTGATTAAGTTAATGTTTTTAAATAATGAAATTTTGCTGGTATTTTTAAGTATCAGTATGTATTGGTTGTTGTTGTCAAGTGCTATAGAGTCAGTTCAGACTCATAGTGACCCTGTCCAGGGTTTCCGAGGACTTAATAGTGTGCCATATTTTTTCACACATAATACACTCATGTAAGTAATGAACATACATGTATAATGTTCATAGCACACACAGGAAACTAATTCATGAAGAGATTGTGCCTAATAATGCATGTTATTTGTGCAGAAATAATGTACTTGAGTTTATTCTTATTCTTTGATTGGAAACAGATGGCTGTTTAGGGAGTTCTGAACAAAGAATTGTGAGTGATTCCTTAACAGTTATTTCTAAAGCAGAAGTCAGATGACTTGTTCATGATAGTTTAGAATAACTAAAAAGTGATACCCAAAAAGTGCCTCTCTAGGTTGTAGATTACCCCCTTTGTAGATAGGTATGAGGTAGCTTCAGAAAGTTAGTGGTAACAAATATATGTAAAGGTTTAACAGGGGATATTTGTACAAGACAGTTTGTACAAGGGTATTTACCTTTGCTGCAAACACACCTATGAATGTGATGGAGTATTGTTGTTGTTGAGAGCCATCGAGTTGGTTCCGACTCACAGTGACTCTGTATATGATTTCAAGGCTTTAAATCTTTGTGGGAACAGAAAGCCTAATCTGTTTCTTCAGAGCAGCTTGTGGACTCAAACTACTGACCTGTGGTTTGCAGTCCAGTGCTTATCCTGTGGAGCCACTGGATAAAATGATGAAAACTTAGATGTTACCAAACACCTTGAGGCAACAAGTTGCTGGGCTTGGGGTTTCAGGACCATAGTCTCAGAGGACACCATGGTAATTGGCATAACATAGTCCACAAAGACAATGCTCTATATTCTACTTTGGTGAATAGTGACTGGGATCTTAAAAGTTCACGAGCAGCCATCTAAGATGCAACTGGTCTCTCTATATGCAAAGAAAGAAGAGTGATTAAATTTGAAAATGCTTAGAAATCAATTAGTCCAATGGACTAATAAAACAAGAGAACTTCAATCTCCATGATGGTAAGACCAGAAGAGCTTGATAGAGCAAAACTCAAATTATTAAAAAGACCAGACTTAAGAAAGTGAGTAGAGGAGCATAAGACTAACAGAACTTACCCTTATGGCCCAATTTTCAACCAAATAGTGGATAAGTATATAGAGGGGATTCCTGGTGTGGTGCTGTGAACTAATGTGCTGGACTGCAAAATCAGTCTGAACCACAGGGTTGATGATTCAGGCTCACCAGCAGCTCCTTGGAAACCCTATACAGACAGGATCGCTATGGGTCGGAACCGACTTAATAACAACATATAGAGGGAACAGCACAGGTGAGGTATGCTTATCATGGAATGGCCAACCATTATGAAACCACAGGGGCAACATATACCTGGGGACAAGGTTCACAGGGATTGGGAAAGGAGGGTAGAGTAGGAAAATAGGCCCCACAGGGAGGAGGGGGGATACGTGTTATTACATGGAGTAGAGTGTAATCATTGAGATGAAACAGGGTATGATTTGTTGGATGTAAAACTGATGATCTGCTCTATAAACCTTTATTCAATTCACAATAAGAAGTTTAAAAAAAGTTTGTGGTAAAATTCCATTTTTCTAATTCCATTTTTCCACAAGCTCTTTGAAACCCCTCCATATTGACCAGAAAAATAATACACATTTAGGTTTAATAATAAAAATAAAAATAATAAACAGTAGGTCTCACACTTGGTGTTTTAAGAAATCTAGTTGCCAAAGCTCTTAAAGTGATTTTATTGTGGGTGTCTTTCTTCCTCATATCATAGAATGCAAGGTGTTTAGTATTCTGAAATGAAATGATAGAAAACCTTTTTTTTTTTCTTTGTCATTTCTTGAGTTTCTAAGTGAATATCCCTCATGTACTCTGGTACTACATAACTGGTAATGTTCTTAAATTACTGCTTTCAGTAAAATGTTAAAATTATTAAATAAGCAGACCCATTAACTACTGACTAAATTGTTTATGGCTTCTAAAGCCAAGAGACAATAAATAATGACTTTTTCTAATATGAATAAAACATTGAGCTAGTTAACTAGTAATTAAAATAAAGTTCTTTATTTCCCTAGTCACTTGAGCCTTCTTTGTTAACTTTCTTTAAGTCAGTTAGCTCCAGGTCGGAAACGTATTCTTTGTTTATAGATATGTGACCTTCATATGTGTTTTTTTATTAGCAGGAATGAATGATTACCAGGGTCTTGTGGGGACTGTTAAATGAAAAACTACCTTTAAAGTACAATCAGGATGAAAAAGAAAAACATTTCTAGGGGGAAAATATAGTTTATGCATTTTAAAAGTAAGTTAATTTAAAACTCTGAGATTAATAATTATCTGAATGGTTTTCTTTCATATAGAGGTCCCAGTATCTTAACCACTGTGCCACAAGGGGTCCAAAAGCAGCATTAAGGTCCGAGTTATATAGAAGCCAACATGTAGCTCTATTGCTCGTGCAAGTGATTTTGACCTCAAATAGTAGGGTGTGTTCAGTGGGGGCACAGTGGGTTATGTGTTGGGCTGCTAAATGCAAAGTCAGTGGTTCAAACTCACTAGCCTTTTCATGGGAGAAAGATGAGGCTGTCTGCTCCTATAAAGATGCAGTCTCAGAAACCCTATATAGGGTTATTGTGAGTCAGAATTCACTTAGGAACAATGGGTTTGGTTTTGGGTTGAAAAGTAAAGCATTAAATTGAGATTATGTGCCGTCGAGTCGGTTCCAACCCATAGCGACCCTGTACAGGGTTTCCGAGGGTGTAAATCCTTACGGGAGTAGAAAGCCTCATCTTTCTCCCGCGGAGCGGCTGGTAGTTTCGAACCGCTGACCTTAAGGTTCACAGCCCGATTCGTAACCACTATGCTACCAGAGCTCCTTAAATTGAGATTATAGATAAAGTGAAATATTCATTATGAGTTGTAACAGGGGTTAAAAACTATTATCTGTGGATCAAATGTAGCTCACGACCTGTTTTTATAAATAAGTTTTATTAGAACAGAGCCACGTTTTGGCTATTTTCATGCTACAGTTGTTGTTAGGTTCCATTGAGTCAGTACTGACTCATAGCAACCCTGTACACAGCAGAACGAAACACTGCCCAGTGCTGGGCCAACCTCATGTTGCTGTGCCTGAGCCCATCACTGCCTCCACTTTGCCAATCCATCACATTGGTGGAGGGTGGTCTTCCTCTTATTCTCCAACTCTCCACTTTACCAAACATGATACCCTTGCCCAGTGACTGGTCCTTCCTGATAATATGTCTGAAGTATGAGTGACAAAGTTTGTCCGTTCTGGCTTCCAAGGAACACTCTGACTGTACTTCTTCCAACACAGATCTGTTTGTTCTTTTGGTACTCCATGGTACTTTTAATATTCTCATACAACACCATAACTCAAATGCATCAATTCTTCTGCAGTCTTCCTTATTCACTGTCCAACTTTTGCATACATGAGCTTATTGAAAATACCATGGCTTTGGTCACAGGTGCACCTTAGTCCTCAAACTGACATCTTTGCTTTTCAACACTTTAAAGAGGTCTTAACGTGCAGCAGATTTGCCTAATGCAGTATGTCGTTTGATTTCTTGACTGCTGTCTCCATGAGTGTTGATGGTTAATCTGAGCAAAATGAAGTCTTTGACAACTTCAATCTTTTCTCCATTTATGTTGCTGTTATTTATTGGTCCAGTGGTGAAGATGTTTGTTTTCTTTACACTGACATACATCCCATACCAAAGGTTATAGTCTTTGATCTTTATCGGTACTTTAAGTCCTCTTCGCTTTCAGCTAGCAAGGTTGTATCATCTG